TATTTTTATGTTTCTCAATCCGTAGTTTTGTTTCTTGTTATGTCTAGTCTCTGCTCTGTCCGACTGTCTGGACTTTTTGCAGCTAAGTAATTAAGGTGAAGTCCATTCATTAAATTTCAAGTACGATACATGAAGACAGAGGAAGATGTTCATTTGAGATTAGAAAAAAGGGAGTCAGATTTGGTTTTGGTTTAAGAGAATTGGCCAATGTTGTTGTGTGCATCTCAGTGATTTTTGTCTGGTTGAAATGGTTAATTTACTATAACGGAGTATAACCTACCTAGCTTGTCATTTATTTGGTGGGGGATGTGCAAAAATTTGTCACTTTGTCATACATTTACAATTACTGTTACAAACTTTGAAGGCTGTCATACATTTACAATTAAAGTCACAGATAATCGTGCACGACATAACAATATCAACTCGCAATGACATGTACGATAATTGATTTCAAATCGAGCAAAGACGTGGTGCTACATCGAACAGGTGGATGACGTTAAGAATTTGAATCGATTCAAATGTATGTACAGGTTCCTCGAAAACCACATCATTTAACAGCCCAAATCAGCAAATTTGTTGGAAACCATTGACACGAAAGCAGCATTTCATCCCACCATGGAATGGATTTGGTTGGGAGGAGTTACGGTGCTAATTGTACAATAGTTAGCACCGTCCTAACCAAGGGAAAAACTGCTACTAGTTTGAATTAGTAGTGATTTAGCTTAGATGTTGTATTGATTTTATAATAATCCGTAGTGATTTCGTTATTTTTAGTAGCGTTTTGCTAGTTATCATGGTGCTAACCCCTATAAGGGTTAGCAGCTAATCCCATCCTGATTTGGTTACATTCACCCACTGTTTTCCTTTTGTGCTCCTCCTCGCAATTTGAAGGGTGAAGAAAATTTGGAGGTCTCTTTCGTGCACAACTGTTTACAGGGATGGAAGTAGGCAAAAATTGGCAGATGGCAGATAGCAATGGAACCCTAAAAACAACAAAACAGAAAGGAAGAGAATCTAGTGGTGTAATAAATTCAAGACACTTCACTTCACTTCACTATCATCAAAGGATAGGAGAGGAGGACGTGGGTAACAACAGCACAACAGGTGCCTTGCTTTCTATATAGGGTGAAAGGTGTGGGCCTGGCTTGGAAGGAGGTGGGCCTGATCTGCTGGCTGGATGGGCCCGAACGCAATAGTTCCAATAGCAGCACTCCAAATTTCGCGCATAACTTCCGTTGTATTTGTATCATATGTGGCCCAACTTTTGATTAGACTGGAGTAGAGTAGAGACTAGAGAGTAGCATCAGCTGTCACATTTCTTCTTCCCCCACGCTCATTCCACATACAATCATACATACATGCTTCTCTCCCACAAATATGCGAATTCTTTTCTGCATGGCTGAGGTGAGAGTGAGATCGAAAAGGGAGGGTGCGTCTAAAGTTTGGATTGACTGATGATCTGAATTCGAGTTCGAATTTTGTTTGTTTGTACGAAACTTTGTCGGAGTTCGGTTTAGCAAGTGAGATAAACAAATCAAATTTGAGTTCGATATTATAAGTGAGCTCAACGAGTTAAGTTGCTGTACATCTCAATTCTTAACATTCGATTAAATGTACAATAACCAACTTTATGCAATACTGTTTTATTCTCCTCCGAAATTATTGTTTCTTTCACGTGGGACATCCAAAACTTCCTTTTATATTGCCTTACTTTCTCAAAACTTATATTTATTCGGAAAAAATTCCAAGTTACACATGTTTTAAAAAAAAAAATCTCAAAATACACACGTTATGAAACAAATTCCCAATCTACGCATGTTTGGGTATTCATCGCGGCAGAGCAAGGCGGTGATTGAATCACCGCTTGAGATGAGGGCGGTGATTGGGCACTGATTGCATCACTGTTGTAGAGGAAGGCGGTGAATGCTTCACCGCAGCTGTGGCCTGACCTGCTTCGAAACTTTAAACAAACGTAACTTTGTGCTCGGTCATCCGATCGTAGCGATTTTTTTTATTTCGCATAATTTTTCGAACGGATTTCGCATAATTTTTTGATTGGGCAGTGATTCCGCAAGATCTCGAAAAATTATGCGGAATCAAAAAAAATTTCGCTACGATCGGATAACCGAGCACAAAGTTACGTTCGTTTAAAGTTTCGACGCAGGTCAGACTTTCACTTCCTTCCTCTACAGCGGTGTTGCAATCACCGCATTCCTCTACAGCGGTGATGCAATCACCGTCCTCCTCTCATGCGGTGATGCAATCACCACTCTTCTTTCATGCGGTGATGTATCACCGCCTTGCTCTGCCGCGGTGAAGGCCCAAACATGCGTAGATTGAGAATTTTTTTTCATAACATGTGTATTTTGAGATTTTTTTTTTAAAACATGTGTAACTTGGGATGTTTTCCTATTTATTTAGGGTGGGACAATCAAACATATTCTTTATTTCACTTAGTATGTTAGCCCACTTCAAGTAATTACGTCAAACTAGAGAGTAACTCATAATATTTTTTTCTTATACACATTTGTTTCATGTGTGTTACCTGTCTTGAGTTAGGTAGTGAAATCTGATGAGGGAAGCAAACTATAACTCAATTCGATTCATCGGTATAGAAACTTGATCGTTCACAAAATGATTTATTAAATAACGAGTTGAGGAGTGGTTCACTGATAGCCTGATCCTAAATTAATTAGAATACATTCGATGGAACTGAACAGACTATTTGATTAATACATCTATATATTTTTCGAAATATAAGTCAGAGAGACAATAAGAACTTATATTAAAAATTGTAACATCAATATGTTGTCTTGGTTGTTTGAAACAAAGCTACAACAATATTGCCTCTAATTGGAGAGATTTTTCCAAATTTTGTGGTGGAAAAAAGTAACAAGCAAGAGTGATCAACCAAACAAGATATAAAGATAACCATTGTGTAGCCGGCTCAAAACATCAAGTCGAAATCAACAAATGAAGAAGTACTACCAAAGTATATCCTCTAATTAAAAATTGTTCATTTCATATCCATCAACTTCTTCTGATTGATAACTAATAGAGCAAATTATTTTCAGAAAGGAGATAACTAGCTAGTACTAGTCTCTTCTCATGTGGACCAAGCACCACCAGCCAATTAAGATGCTAAAAAGATCTTAATCACAGGAGATTGTTGATTAATCAACCACCACAATTATCAGAAGTTTGTTTTTAGTTTGTTCTTGCGTATTTAATTTGGTCAGTGTGCTTTCATTTGATGTAATGAATCGAGAGAGCTAAATCAAACCCAGCTGCCATGTAAAATGACACTCACTCTGCATATAGGCTTTGAAAAGTAGAAAACCCGCACCTCAAAAAGGGTCACCACTCACCACCCATAAATAGGAGGGGAGTGTGCGTGGGACACCCACGACTTTCTCAGAATCATCAATCGTAGTTGCGATCGAGACCCCAAATCTTGAGCGTCGAAGACACGACGACGACTAGAAAGCCAAGCAAAGTAGAAGAAACAAACGTTCAGCTGCTTCTTATGCGTGGGTGATGCCCATGGCCACGGCTACTAAAGCACACAAAGGAATTAGAGCAAGGAGAAATGGAGAATAGATCGGAACTACCCGCTTCCCTTCCTAACCTCTGTTTCCAAGACTCATGCGCCAATCTGAATTCATGTGTGGGTGATTCCCACGGCTACATGATTACACGGAAAGTGGAATCACCGTCAACCACTCGCCGGTAACCACCCCATAACCACTCCGAACCGTCAAAAACTTCCTTGGAACTGCTCTGCGACTGAAGAAGGAGAAGTTGCTCTTCCGAGCAAAATTATACACCTCTTGCCGTTGTCTCAATGTAGATGTTTTCCATGAAATTTGTGGGCTGGCTTCGGCTCGGATTATCAACCCTGTTCAATGTACAGGCATACCTCAAAGCCCATTCTTTCCAAAATCAAAGCCCAATCAAGGAAGGGAGTAACTTATGGATTATGGACTGAGATTGGATAATACCCATTAAAACCGATTCCTAACTGGGCCGAGTTCTGAACATTCCATGCGAACGAATTAGGAATCGACGCATTGGCGAAAAAAAAAAAAGAATTAGGAACCGACGGAAAACGCCGCAATTGACGGAAACGCCTGCCTAGGTGGACAGCTGATGTGGCAAATTTGCATCAGGCAGGCTCGGCTTTTCTTTATCAGAAAAGTGGGTATGAAATGGCACTACTTTCCATCATTTCTTCATAGCAAAGCACGAAGAGGAGGAGGAAAAGAAGTGTACAAAAGCCAAAATGGCGATGGTAAAGCAGAGCACTCAGCGGCTGGTTACCCTAGTATATTAACAAGACGATGAACCTACCCATCTGTGGAGAAAGCTGCCGCATTTTGTACTGAATTCGCTGTTGGGAGGTTCAGAGAGCTAAGAACCTGCAATTCCCTATCTTCCCTCAACAACCAGCATAGCAGTACATCGACCGATTTTGCTGGTAAATTCTTCCTTTTCTAGATTATACTCTGCTCTGCGGCTTCTTCCATTCGTAGTCCAGGGTTTTTACTTGTGAACGGACGGCAGGTGGTGGTTATGGGCTGGTAACTCCCCATCTTTTTCTCAACAATCTTCGTAAGCATATTAAGTACATCAAACTTATTTTACTCGTAATTCTTCATTCCCTAGTTTACTTTGCTCTGCGGATTCTTCGGTTTTGAGTCTAGGTTTTACTTGATTGAATGGTACAGGGGATGATGATGTGCTGGTAATTCTTCACTCTCTAGTTTACTCGGTTCTGTTAATTCTCCCATTTTGAGAGTCTAGGGTTTAATTTTGAATGATACAGTTCGTGATAATCTGCTGGTCATTCTTCCTTCTCTAGTGTACTCTGGTCTGCATATTCTTCCATTTTGAGTGTAGGGTTTACTTGTGAATGAAGGATACAGGTGATGATGATGCAGAGGGTTATTGAAAGAGAAATGGTCACTACTACAATGATAGCTTTATCAGGTTTTTTAATCATGCTCTCAGCTGTGTGCAACACGGCTGAGGTGGCAGCATTGTCCTTCAGCTACAGCAGCTTCGATCAATGCAGCGACTCCATCAAGCTGTACGGAGAGGCATCTTGTATGAATTCTGGGATACAACTGACCAGCTTCGGATATTACGTGATCGGCCAGGCCAGATACTTCAAGCCAATGCACCTCTGGGATGCCACCACGGGTGGTGTCGCCAGTTTCACTACCACATTCACCTTTGATATCAGCAGTAATGTGGACAGTAACAATAGTGGCAGTAGCAGCGAAGATGGGTCCTCGTCGTGCTGTGACGGTCTGGCATTCTTCCTGGCACCGCGAAACTACAGCATCCCAGTGGGTGGGGGAGCCAGCGGAAGGTTGGGGCTTATATATGCTAACCTCACTTATGACTCTGCATCAGAGAATCCATTTGTGGCGGTTGAGTTCGACACCTACAACAACGAGTGGGATGCGTGGAACGACAGCAGCCATGTTGGAATTAATATCAACTCTCTGCAGTCTGTTTCCAGCAAGAGATGGAATTATAATGGCAATGGTACTCGTCGAATGCGTGCACGAATTTCCTACAATAAGGATGCCAAAACGATGTGCGCAAGCTGGTTTAGTAGTAGGGATGATAATGATCAGTTCGAGTTCGAGAACACCCTTTGCTATGGAGTTGATTTGACAAATTACTTGCCTGAACAAGTAGTCTTTGGCTTCACCAGTTCAACAGCTTGGAGGTCTCATTCCCACAACATCCGTTCCTGGTCGTTTAATTCTTCCGATCCAGTCACTGCTCGGGCCAACACCACCACTACTACTACAGCAACACCAACCGGGTCATCTAGAAGAAAAGGCAGAGACGATATCAAAAACTTGATCATTGGATTGTCCATACTAATATTGCTGGCCGGTCTTGCTCTTGCAGCAGTATGGTTCTGTGTGTATAGGCGTTTCTGTTGGAAGCAGAATGCGGATAAAAGTCTGTTGGCTGACCGCGAATTGGTTAGCGCACCCTTGCGTGGTGGTAGCGAGGGGCAAGACAGCACTAGTTCAGGTGGTGGTCTCATGAGATGACCTCGACCTCGACCTCTTCACAGGATCAATGCTGGAGCGAAATACATCCCACCGGATGTGGTTAGTCAAGCCACAAACGGTTTCATTGAGGTGTTGGGGAGAGGTGGGTTCGGTGAAGTTTACAAAGGAAAACTGGACGGTAGAGCTGTCGCGGTGAAGAAACTGTTCCAGGTGGTGGCGGCTGGTGGTGGGAGAGGGAACAAGGAGGGGTACATGGCAGAGTTAACCGTGATAACACAGTTGAAGCACCACAATTTGGTTGAACTACTAAGATGGTCATGCGGCAACTCGGGTGAGCTCTACTTGGTCTATGACTACATGGAGAATGGTAGCTTGGACAGTCATCTATTCAGTCAAGAGCCTGGCCATCAACCGCTCATATGGGAAATCAGGTTCCGAATCGCCAAGGATTTAGGTTCAGGGCTACTTTACTTGCACGGAGGGTGCACTGAATGTGTGCTGCATAGGGACATCAAGCCCGCTAATGTTCTGTTGGATTCTGATATGAGAGCCAAGCTGTCTGATTTCGGACTGGCTCGTGTGGTGGGGCACGACGACCGATCCCAGTCCTTGATCTACGGGAGCGAGGGATACCTCGCTCCCGAGGTATTGGAGACTGGGAAGTCAACTAAAAGCTCCGACGTCTTCAGTTTCGGGGTGGTGGCTCTGCAAATCGTTAGCGGGAAGTCGGCTTATGTTATCAACAATTCAGCCCAACGTCGTCACATTGTGGAGTGGGCATGGGGCCTATATGGGGAGGGTCATGTTGAAGCTGTAGTAGACCCTAAGCTAAATGGTGTGTTTGTGGAGGAACAGGTCCGTCGTTTGTTGGAAGTGGGTCTTCACTGTGCTCACCCAGATCCCTCCCGCAGGCCTCGGATGAAGGACGCCATGGATGCACTGAACTTCAGTGATCCATTGGGATTGGCCCCTCTACCGTTGCAATATCCCACCAACCGTAGTTCCCAGGCCGGCCTCCTCCCATCGCTGTCGCGAATCCTTGAAGAATCGCCGGCAGTTTCCTCACTGCAGCAGCAGCTGCCAGTATTATCATCATCATTATCATCCTCAGGAGTTGTTCCACCGGCACATGATCAGATTGACAGTTTTGATCAGCCTGTCTCAAGTGTCAATAGAGCTCAGGGAGCTGTTTCCCGCCTCTATCGCACGGTCTAGGACCGCGGTTTCCTGGTGTGATCGTTGCTGCGTGCGCGCTCTTTCATTCAGCAGACTCCATGTTTGTTGGATTGCAAATTGGTAAAAGTGTGTCTGAGTTCATTCGACAAGGATATTTTTGTCCGGTTTCTGCTGCTGCACATTTGGTTATAACTTAATACCAATTTTGGTTGTATGAGTTGTGTATCCTTGTAATCAGTGTCTTTATTATAGGTACTTTACTATATAGTTTTGAGCAACACTTATTGATTCTGGTAGCCGCAACAGGTTACGGTTGGATTACTTTTTCTTGATGAGGAATGAATACAAGGTTTTCTGAGACAGAGAAATTCATCGAGAAAAAAAAAAAAAAAACCTTGTCTCTCTCCCCAATGCTGGTTTAATGTTGTGGTGTTGCATATGATAAGGTTAACATTTCCACCCAACTATCCATGTCAGGTACGAGGAAAATGTAGACAGTCGCATCCAACTGAATGTTGTTATTCAACGAACAAAAAAATGTTATTGTTGACTTCTTGTGCACTATGCTGAGCCGTAGAATTTCAGGATAACCAGTAACCACAAACATTTGGAAAAAGTTAATCTGCAAAACTTGAAGATTTATTAATAGATACTAACTGATATCCTAAATATATGAACTAATATCCAAGTACTAAAGTATCTAAAGAACACATGCTAGCAGGGTTATAGGTATAATATGCCCCTCTACTATGACGTTTTAACAAATATGCCCCTCTACTATTTTTTACATCAAACATGTCCTTGTACTTTGGAAAACTGATCAAACATGCCCTTTTGTTCTTTAGAGTTTTTTTTTGTTCTCTTGTATTGCCAAATAATTATAATAATTTCACTTTGATGAGACCTAGAAAAATAAAGCAAGGTCAAAACTGACATTTCCCCTCCTATTTATCGATGTCAGGTCGTCTAAATCTCGGTTCAACCATGATTTACGATTTTTTCAATGAAAATTTCAACTGAAGTGCATGTTTGATAGTTTTTCCAAACAGGGGCATATTTGATGTAAAAAATAGTAGAGGGGCATGTTTGATAAAACGTCATAGTAGAGGGGCATATTATACCTATAACCCCAGGCTAGCATTCAAAGTTTGCTAACTGATATCCACCATGAACCAACTATTATCCCAAATTCACAAACTAATATCTAAACAACACAGAATAGTATCCAAACAACACATAATTAGTATTCAGATAACCCATAAGAGTATCCATATTGAATACTAGTTGGTTGATTGTGGATATTAGTTGGTATCTGCTATATGAATACTAGTTTGTGATGTTTTGAATACTAGTCTGTACTATGTAGATACTTAGCAGACTTGGATATTAGTTCATACATTTTGGATATTAGTTAGTATATAGGATTAATAGCATTTTGTACCCCTCTACTTTGATAAATTGACAAACATACCCTTCTTTAAAATTTTTGTACAAACATACCCTTCTAATATTAAATCGTAACAAGTTTACCCTTCCATCTAATTATCCGTTAAGTGACCGTTAGATAGATTGAGAAATGACCCAATTACCCCTCGTTTAGTCCTAATTTTTGTTTTAATTATTTTATATTTTATTATTTATATCCAAGAGATCAATTTATTAGAAAAAAAACCCTAAACTAACACTCCCCTAGCGTTTACTTCCTTCGCCGCCAAACCCCCATCCACCTCCCCTTTCCAAACCCTACGCCTCAACTCCTCTTCCTCCCCAGTTTCCTTCCGCCATCTCACCAATCGACAAGGCCTTCTCCCGTTGTTTGTTCCTTCCGCCGACGACGATAACGGCGGGATCAAACGGTTCCCTCCCACCGGCAGCGGCGTTGAGGGGACGACGGAGGGGAGGAGGTGCTCTCTGATGGGGAAAATGCAGGGGACAAGAACAGGGTAGAGGCGATGATGGTGCTGGCGGAGGCGGGGAGGTTGCTGGAGAGACTGCCGAAGAACCTGGCGGTGGCGATTCAGGACGGGAGCATTTCGGGGTCGGTGGTTTCGAGGTTTTTGGAGCTGAAGAAATCGGGGATGATGTGGTGGCTGCTGCAGTTCAATGCGTTTAAGAAGAGGTTCTGGCGGATGATTTGTTCTTGGCGGTGGAGGAGCAGTGGGGGGCCGGCGTCGGAGGAAGCAGACGCATAGGAGAGTTAATTTAGGGGGTTTCTAATTAATTGATCTCTTGGACATAAATAATAAAATATAAAATAACTAAAACTGAAATTAGAACTAAATGAGGGACAATTGGGTCATTTTCTAGTCTATTTAACGGTCAATTGATAATTAGATGGAAGGGTAAACTTGTTACGATTTAATATTAGAAGGGTATATTTGTACAAAAATTTAGTAGAATGGTACGTTTGTTAATTTACCAAATTAGAGAAATACAAAATGCTATTAACCCTAGTATATACTGACTAATTTTCAAATTAGCGGAATAACTAGGCTGCATTTTGAGTTGAGTTTTGCTTAAATGGGCTCAGACCAATTTCATCCCAGTTCAATTTTGAGGTATGCTGCAGAGCTCACGCTTTCATACCAAACACCAAAAATGAAAAGTAACGAATGCATTGTGGGCTGAAATTGGTCAATCAAAATGGATTCGTAATTGGGCTTGATCTAGAGGGTTTGCACCTTTTCCCAAGCAAACGAATCAGGAAAAGATATATTTGTATAAATTGGACTACGCTGAGTAAACTTGTTCCACCCGTCGGAATGTCATTCAATTAGAATGTATTTTTATGTGTATTTAAAATTTTATATTATTTTAAATGATGAATTTTGTATGATATTAAGGTGACATTGAAATTATTTTTCCATTTTCAAAATTCGTATAACTTTTCATCAATGATAAACATAGGAATCTTAATGGTTATAATCGTAGTTGTGAAATCGGTTTAAGACGTTGAGCCGACCAAGCAAGTGGTTGGAAGTTTAATTGGTTGATTGAGGTCCAACCCGTTTGAGTCGTTTTACACATTTTATAAATATATATTTATATATACGACAAAAATTTAGTAACTGGAAAGTTCTAACTTATATTTATTAAAACTCAAATTCCATAAAAAACACCTATCTCAAGATCCACCCACCATCCCCTTGCCTCTCTCTTCTTCTCTCTCGAACAAACAGACCTTTGGTTTTGTAGAGCCCGTTTTGGAGCATGACTTTGGTCAGACCTAGTACAACCAGTCGTCCAATAGAGGTGTAACAATCTTGATTATAACACTCGCGAATAACCATTCATAACTTGTCTGTTTAATGATGTAGGTCACTTAGCTGCTTATGGTGGAAATGAAAATTGACATAACAAAAAAAGAGTTTGTCTGAAAAAGCGTAGCATAAATAGGAAACTCATGATCATAACCTTTAGTCAATATTTATATCTTTTGTTTTGAGAAACAATACATAAATAGCAATATCTAAACTTTAAAGTATTTTGCACGATACTGTCAATACAATAACAATATTAGTAAGAAAATAACATTTTCATCCATACTCTATGCAATAAAAAATTATTAACCAACTTACTTTAAATTTAGTTGAAGGCCAATTTTATTCACTCAGCAAAAAAATTAAACCTATCTTGTAGTACCGACCTTGTTAATGCACATGATCACATCAATGTGTCCATGAAAACTCCAGACGACTTTCATGATTTGTCTTGTATTGCGGTTATTTCATATTAACCTAAGTAACTATTAATGATACATATGGTCAATTACCTTATAACATTAAAGATTTAAATAATTGAAATATAGAAAAATTGGTGTTCAAGAAATTGTGTTCTTTTAAGGCAAAATACACTTGTATAGACATAACTTTCACGTTCGTGACAAATATAGCCAAAACTATTCGAAAATACAAAATAGCCAATTCCGTCCATCTCTTTAACGGTGTTACTTAACAATCTGACTGGACTGACGGAATATGCTGAGTTGGTGACTTATGGTCCCCACCAACCCGATGTGGATTAACATAAAAAAATTAAAATATAAAAAACATTATTCATCTCATAATTTAGTTTAAAAACAAAAAAAAAAGGAAAAAATTGCAAACTTATATGGGCTCCACCCACCGCCCAGCCTAGTTATTCTGCTAACCGCATAAGTTGTTAGTATATACTAACTAATATACAAAATGTATGAACTAGTATCCAAGTCTGCTGATTTTACTAAAGTATTTAGATAGCACATACTAGTATTCAAAACATCACAAACTAGTATCCAGATAGCAATAACACATACGAGTATACAGATAACACATAAGAATATCCACAATCAACCAACTAGTATTCAATATGGATACTCTTATGTGTTATCCAGGGGCGGAGCTACACAGGGCCTAAGCCCCCCTCCCCCCCAGAATTTCGAAAATCACGAAAGAATGTACGAGTATTCTGAAAATTACGAAGTAAATACAGGTTTTATAATAATGGCCGCAGGTTAAAAGGTATCTAAATAAGCTGATTACCCTAGTGGAGTTGTCGTGGCTCTGTATCCAACAGGTCAGGGGTTCAATCCCCACTTATATCAGTTTTTCGGTTGGAATTTTTTACAATTTTATGGCTTTAATGGAAAAATTTTCCTCGATAAGTTTAACAAGAATGTCAATCTAATTATTTGACAAAACATCTCGTAAATTTTGATAATTCACACAATTAATTTATTTATATAATTATTTTGATTTTTGTCTAGTTACGATAATATACCAAACATTTCCGGCCCCCCCAAACCCAAAATCCTAGCTCCGCCCCTGGTGTTATCTGTATACTCTTATGTGTTATCCGTATACTAATTATGTGCTGTATGGATACTATTTTGTGTTGTCTAGATATTAGTTTGTGAATTTAAGATAATAGTTTATTCATGGTGGATATCAGTTAGCAAACCTTGAATACTAGTCTATGCTCTCTAGATACTTTAGTACTTGGATACTAGTTCATGTATTTTGGATATCAATTAGTATCTGCTAACGAATCTTCAAGTTAGCATATTAACTTTCCCCCCACAGGCCATCTTCCTCCTACTTTACATCTTCCCCAATTCAAACTCCACCCTAGTTTCTCGATTTTATCCACCACTACCACTACCACCGCCGCTCTCCCCTCTCCCTTTCTCGCTTATTCCTTTCCCCATTTATTCCCCCTTTATAAAAGACTACTCTGAATTCGGAGAGACCTAGGAATCTGCTGCTGGTACTACTTCCGCTCGCTCTCCCCGTCTGCGATATTCCATGGCCTTCGCTACCGTGACCAGCTTGGACTGCGGAAGCAACTCATCAAAACAGCATCCGACCACCGTTTGGCCCTCGCTACCGCCCTCTCCTACTTCCATTCCTTTCACGATGTCGGCGTGGCTTCCGCAATTTCGTCGACGAGGAGCTCGTTCTAGGCACCTAATATGCTTCCCCTGGATGGCTGGATCCCCTATTCTCACCTTCCTCATAGTGACGACAAATCTAAACCCAGTTCCAAATACTCTTCTTGCACAACCTCGATTTTCCATTCCTTCGGTAGTGATGACAGCTACCATGGTAAGACCCAACCCAAGAAGATTAAGAAGAAGATTAAAAACCACAACCACGAATTTCACGGGCACGATGAAGATGACGAAGATTGAGAATCAGTCTCCGCAACTGGTGGAGACGGCGAGGGAGCAGAGGGCGGAGCGGGGCGGTAGGTGGAGGAGAGGTACAAGATTAGGGATTTAGGGGATGGAGAGGTGGCTGGGAGGGGGAAAGTTAATCTGCTAACTTGAAGATTTGTTAGCAGATACTAACTGATATCTAAAATACATGAACTAGTATCCAAGCACTAAAGTATCTAGAGAGCACAGACTAGTATTCAAGGTTTGCTAATTGATATCCACCATGAATCAACTATTATCCCAAATTCACAAACTAATATATAGACAACACAAAATAGTATCCATACAGCACATAGTTAGTATCCAGATAACACATAAGAGTATCCATATTGAATACTAGTTGGTTGATTGTGGATATTAATTGGTATATGGTATCTGGATACTAGTTTGTGAAGTTTTGAATACTAGTTTGCGCTATCTAGATACTTTAGTAAAATCAGCAGATTTGGATAGGGGTGGAAGTTTGGGTTGTGGGTTGTGGATAATCCACAAACCGCACCAATCCGCACCTATTGTGAGTAGTGGGTTGGGTGTGGGTAGTAAACTAACGATTTTTGTGGTTAGTGGTTATCCACTACCCACCGTGGATAACCCACAAAATCCACAATAACCACACTAATTATATTTATTTAGTGAATTAACTTTATAATATAATAGTATGTGAAAAGTGCGAGGATAAAAATTAAAGTAGTCACCAAATAAGAAAGACACACCTAATTAGTTTTATGTAAGAATTTTTTAGTTTATAAACACTATAATCGATAGAGTGGGGAATAATCAATTCATCAAAAGTGAACACCTTTTATAACTTTTATCAGTATGTTTTTTCTTTTGTGCGAAAAAAATACAAGATCATATTTAATTGTCATATTTCACCCCTAGTCGGGGAAATATGAAATCACAGCTCTCTGACACTAAAGTTGAATACCAAACTCAAAAGAAAAATCTCCACGTTGAGTAAGATCGATGTACAAAATTGTATCTCCACGAACAACACAAGTGTATATCACTATAATCTAGTTACGAACAACAAATACGTTAGTGGCGACTAGAACTCTATGCTTGCAAAGATGCATTTTTGCGGGTAACCACACCCAACCCGCACAAACCCATAGTGGGTAGTGGTTACCCACTAACCACTGCGGTGCGGGTTGTGGGTAGCATAATTGTAAATTTGTGGGTGTGGGTACCCGCAAAATGTGGGGCGGGTAACCACACCCACCCCAATTTCCACCCATAGATTTGGATACTCGTTCATGCATTTTGAATATTAGTTAGTATATACTAACAACTTATGCAGTTAGCAGAATAACTAGGCTGAATTGGGAGAAGAGAGGGAAATGAGGAGAAAGGGAAGCGAATAAAGAGATGATTGGGGGATAAGAGGGAAATGGGTTTTGGACAGAAGATTGTTGCTGGGGGAGGAGAGGTAGAAAAATATTTTGTGATTTTTTATAATTTAAATATTAATTATTATTGTAATTCAAAATGATGTGGCAATGATATACTGACTAGTCCCTGACGTGTGTGATGATTTGACATCCTAGTCAGCCTAACGTTAACCTAACTGATGAAGTTTCTAACACCATTAAAGTTTCTAACGGAAATGGCTAAATTTGTCACACGACCATCCAATTTTTAGGCTATTTTGTTTTTTCGGATAGTTATGGCTATATTTTTCACAAACGTGAAAGTTATGGCTATACAAGTGTATTTTGCCATTATACATCACTTCTACTCATTCAATACTACAACTCAATGTGCAATATTCGAATCAATGATATTTGAGTAGCAATTATAAAATTATCCTCCATTTGTAAGATAGATATAAATTAAATTTATTATTAATATCAAATTAAAATAATTCAAATATCAAATAACAAATAAAGTACTTACCAGAGAGTTAGTGGGCTAGCTAGCAGTACTGGAAAAGTAATATGGTTTTTAGATTTTAGTAGTTAAAAAGATACCAAACATTTCTTTAGGACAATTGGTAATGGTTGTTGTCTTTGTTTGGAAAGACCCATGGTTCAAATCCTGAGATTGATGTATTTTTATTCTTATAAATAAAAAATAAATAATGATTGTGAATACACAATTACCCTTCCTACTTTCGCTCTCGTTGCAACAAATTTGAATTACTGAATAACTGCCTCCAACTTTGCTATAATATATTTGTAGAAGTTGGAGTACCGCATACACCAAGTAAAAAAATGATATCAAAATCTTGAATTGGTCAGAGTTTGAGATATGATACTATACTTTAACCCTTAAAGATTAAAATCTATGTCTTATTTGTATAAATCTTATCCAATAATACCAATTTAATTAGGAACAATAATCGACGGTTACGATTCATCGTAATACATGTAATAAATTACATGCACCATATTAGAGTTCATGGTTTACGATTTGGATAACAAGGACCTAGAGTTCACTTATTAAGGGTTACGGTATAGTATCATACCCAAAGTCCTTTTAATTTGAGATCAAGATATCATTTTTCTTACATGGCGAACTTTTACCCGGTGTACGATAGAAGGCAGGCACCACACACACATATAGAGCAATGGCTAGTTTATGCTATACGTCTACGTTTACACTTGATATATGTAATTTAATGTATTTTGATGAATCAAAACCGTCGTTATTTTATTACCCGGTGTACGATAGAAGGCAGGCACCACACACATATAGAGCAATGGCTAGTTTATGTTATACGTCTACGTTCACACTTGATATATGTAATTTAATATATTTTGATGAATCAAAACCATCGTTATTTTATTAAATTAAATAAATTTTATGATTCTCGTTAGAGAATTAGGGACTGAGGTTCACCCATTCGAAATTAGGATATAATATCATGCCCCAATGTCCAATCAAACATAGTTTGACGGCTATTTGGTCAACTATTAAATCTAATAGTAAACAAAAATTTTGGGGACTTAAAAGACGTTAACATCAATTTATTTTTAGTGATTGAGATTCATTTGGGGTGCTATTTAATATTTTGGATTACGGTATATATATATATATATATATATGGTGACTTCTACGGTGCCCAGGGTAATCCGGGTACGGGTACCTTGGCCGATCTTAACCATTCATTTTCAATCTCCACGGCTCACGTTTGTTAAACCTAACTGCGCCACTAAATAACTAAACAAATTACAAAAAGCCTCCTACCGCGTTAAGTTTGTTTTCATCCTAGTCCAACTAACTGCCCCGATTAAATTAAATAACCCAATTGGGTAGACCCACTGCCGCCCTAACCAATTTCCAGTCTCCCTAACCAATTACACGATCCCTCTCTCGTCTTGGAGGGACGCCCCTTCACAGTTCCAAGAGAAGCTCCCCATCCAATTTGAACTCCCCAACTTAATCATCTTTTTGAATCTCAATGACTTGCATCCACATTCGACGTAGATTGAATTTCCCAATTTATTTTGTCTTGTTAGTTCTTCGCCCTTTTATTTCCCCTTACCTATCTCTTTCTAACACGATTACGGCGACCATGTCTATTATTGTGTTCATCAAACTTTTCATTTGCAAAAGAACCCTTTAAAGAGGTTTGCTAACCCTAGGGTTCATGTCGCTAGTGCTTTGTCATCTTGTCTTAGCGTTATTGTCATTTTCTCGAAACTTCTATCACTCGGTGAAATTAAGGTTTCCTGATATGTAGTGTTCGTCTCGCCCAGAAGATTGAGGAAGGAGATGAAGAAGACAAATTTGATTCGAATCGGATGGAGAGGTCTCCTTAATTTGTGTTTATGTATTAACGGTGCGTTTAGGACTAATTCTAGTTGGACTGGTTCTGATCATTGATTTTTGAAGGCTTTTAAATAACATTCAAACATGGGCTTGTACATGATCCATGCAATATTCAAAAGTGGGCCTGGAACGTGCCGTATCAATTCGTGCCGTATCAATTCGTGCGCCAACCCTAGTTTAACTAGCTTTACTTACCCTAGTTGAACCTACACGAGTTACCATCATCATTACATATCTTCTGAAATCTTCTAACTCTTGACATTCCAGACTCAACCGTCTCCATCACACTCACGTCTCCAGACTCAACCCCCACGATCACTTTTTCTTACACCTACATTCTCTCTTTCCTCCATCTTCACCTTCCCTTGTTCATTCTTCCTCCAGACTCCATGGAAAACAAAGGTAAATCATTTGCGGAAATGGGGATCTATCTCTATCAAATTAAGACTGCTGATCCACCGCCAGTCTCGGTGACTATCTTTCATTTACAAGCAAAATAGCAATTGTGGCTGAGTACGAGTTCATCCACCTAAGTCCTTTCCCTCAAGAAGTGAAGAAGTTAATAAAAAATCTTGGCTGGGAAAACTTCTTTGATCTCTGGAGTCGAGGAAGCACCAGTTACTGCCCCCCATGTGGTGAGGAAGTTCTACCACAATTTAGAGCTTTCTGGTCCCTCTGATTCTCATCTCGTGTCGATCTTCCTGGGACATAGAGTCTGCTTCCAGCCTCATCAGTTTGCTGAGATCCTCGATCTCCCCGGCGGAGGACACCCCATTGAGAGCATAAGCGATCTTGGGCGGCTGTACGATTTTGAGTTTGAAGTTGAACTGGCGAAACTCACGAAGGGGCGCATCCATGCTTCTTTCTTCCCAGATCCTCTTTGATTCCTCCACTGGATGATCGTCAACTGCTTCCTGCCAAGGTACCGTGGTCATTCGATTATTCGTAAACTTGACTTGTTTATCCTTGTGCAAGCTCAAAGAGGTGTTCCTGTTAACCTCGCATCTCTCATGTGCCTGAACATGGTTGAGGCTGCTCCTAGAGGGGAAAACTAGTACACTGCCTTTCCATATGCCACTTTTGTGACCACCTTTCTTGAAAGGATTGGGATGGATATGGGGGTTTATGTTAAGGAGGACCAGTGCGCTTATTTGCCGGTGTACCGTATAGCCGAATTGACCAATACTTTTATTGACCTTCGGCATACGGAGCATCAAGAGACCCTTGAGGCCTCCTCAAGCAAACGTCCTCGGCTTACATGAGAGTCGATTGATGCAGGACGGGGTGGAG